TGTATAGGCGCCTTGAGCGTGGTATGTAGTGATGTTGTTACATGACAAGCATGTCATGATTATCATGTTTGGACGTGTACTTGACCTATGCCGTCGGTTCGCGTCACGTAATACCAAATGTGGTAAATGTGAAGCTAGCGAAACGTCCAAGAACGCATCATGAGCGTAGCATGTAGTCATGTTGTTACATAGCACGCATTTCGTGATTATCATGTTTGCGCCAGTCACACGCATTCGTCATTCAATCACATCCTGTAATACAAAACTTGGTGAATGTGACGGTAGCAAAACGGCCGCGAGCGCATCATGAGCGTGGAGTGTATTCATGTTGTTGGATGACACGCACCTGCACGGATGATTATCATGTTTGCACCAGTCACATATGTCCGTCATGCGCGCACGTCCTGTAATACCAAACTTGGTGTATGTGACGCTAGCGAAACGGCCGTGAGCGCATCATGAGCGTGGCATGTAGTCATTTTGTTACATGACACGCACCTGCACTGATGATTATCATGTTTGCACCAGTCTCATATATCCGTCATGCACGCACGTCCTGTAATACCAAACTTGGTGTATGTGACGCTAGCGAAACGGCCGCGAGCGCATCATGAGCGCGGCATGTAGTCATGTCGTTACATGACACGCACCTTAACTGATGATTATCATGTTTGCACCAGTCACCTATACCTTCGCCATTCATTCACGTCCCGTAATACGAAAAGCCCCGATGCGAAGCTAGCAAAAGGGCCACGAGCGCACCATGAGCGTAGCGTGTAGTCATGAATAGTCATAGAATGAAAAGTATGACATGCATGTCATGATTTTTGCGTTAGGGTTTGTCGCTTATGTTCGCTATGCAATCATGTTTTACCATGCCAGCTTTGCAACATGTCATGTGAACGAAACCACCGCAAGAGCAGCAAGACCATAAAATGTAAATCATGACATTTATGACATAAATTTCATGATTATCAGGTTATGACTAGTCATTTATGCTCGTCCTGCTGTCATGTCATGGCATACGAAGTTTTAATTGAGACCTTTATCGAAACGGCCAGAAGAGCTATAAGCCGTGAGCAGTAGATAGATAGATAAATAGATAGATACATAGATAGACAAATAGATAGATGGATAGATAGATAGATAGATAGATAAATAGATACGCTCAAAGTCGCCGAAATTCGCTAAGAAATTGTTCGCAAATAAAAAAGAGTTGTAATTTGGAAGAGTGTCACTGTACTCTCAAGAAGCTCGGTTTCATTGCATTGCGTGTGGAAGGCGCCGCCCTATACGCAGTACATATCGCACGTTTTCTGTTCGGCGTCCTTGGTGGCAGGTTCGCCTCTCACACAAGCGAAATGGCTCGTGTAGCCGCCGGTGTGGCGCACCGCCAGCGCCTCTAGTGCCTCTGCCTTCTCTCCCTCTTGCATCTTTAGCTGGTGACCCTTGTGGCGTTTCCTGTGCACTCGTATTGTGTCGTACATTCTTTTAAGCGTCAGGCGTGCGGTGCCACGTCTTCGCGGGGCGGGCCACGACCCGACTGCACGCCAGCGTCGCACCGCGGAGGTCGACGGTGGAGTGTAGTCTGATCCCACGAGGCCACACACATTCCTTCATTGAAGGCGTACTTTACTGTTGGTGCTGCCACAGAACACGACTGGACGGGACGGAAACTGTGAGTGAGCTTACATCACCGGATTTTACTTCCGCAAGGCTACTTTTGCTGCCAGGATTCCTCTGGACACCAATGTTGATGTGAAAATTACCGTAACCCTCGTCGAGGTGGTACAGCACTGATGCGGGACAACCATCTAAAGAACAGATGTGCACCCACTGGACAAGTAGCGTCTCTCAAGGGTCTCCCATTGTTTGGTTTCCTATTGTTTGTTTCCTAATTCTCAGCGCATCAGCACCCTAGAAATCGTCGTCTGCTGAATAGCGTCCATCACAGACAGGCGCTGTTGTCTGGATTTCGAGTCTTGTGGTTCACATGTTCGTCTGCCCATTAGCGGGGCGTGAAACTGACGTGGTATTTGACGTAACTTTCCTTCCACTGTCACGGTGCTACTGCACCTCAGCCGAAGATTCCATCTGTATTCTACGTATATTGATTAAATGCGTTGTGTTTTTTTTTGCTGGTCGCATGTCTTGGTAGGTTCAAGTTTGAGCGAACATGCGCACCTTTGGTGGTTGTCACGCATGGCTTCGTGCTCGAAGTGACACTCAGATTAAGGAATATTCATGAAGTTGCGGACATAGACAACGTGCACCTGGTAATGGTGAGTGTACTGTTGATGTAAGTACTAATTTCACACCGCTAGCTCAGCGTCTGCTGCAGCGAAACAGTAACATGCGTTCGCCACGTTGTTGCAGATGCCCAATAAATATGTCACTTAGTGAGTTAACACCGCTATGCACGGTGTCATGTGAGCGATTGCACCACTCAAACAGTCAGTGAGGCAATCATTTATCAAGGGTGATTGGGTGCTAATCGCACATTATCTCTGCACTCCTGAATGAGCTTGATATTGATTTAGGATGCGTTTTAAGCTACGTAGTAGTAACATTTCTGTCAATACTCGAGTGTGGACTGTGCTTTTAGGGTCAAAACGTGAAAAAAAAACGGATGTGCACCGAGACGCACTCTTAAAATGGCTGTTTTAAAGACAGTTGTGTCACGTGCAAATACAGTGTGACGTTGGCAGCCGGTACGCGGTTGTCGTTTAAAATGTTTAGGACCCGCTTCGTGGGTAACCGGGAAAGCTCTAGTCTTCCGACGGCACGCGTTGTGGCGGCTGCCGCCAAGCTCTGTCCTCTCTCGTTTCTATTTGCTCTTTTCCTGCATTGCTTATATCTGCGATGGCCTTCGGCGTTATACCAAAATTGAGTGAATATAGTCACTGTGGGAGCTATGTGTGGTAGCTCTAGTATAAGCCATTGCTGATGTCAATGTAGACGGCGTTAGCGTGCGTTGGTGTCATTCGAGCGCTCGTACTCACATGTGTTAGTCCGAACATTTGAAGAGGTGGCGACACCGAATTCGTGGAATACGTGTTCTTTGCTGTAAGCGTTTCTTCCAGCTACAGAAAACATATACACGCACAAAGGTTCGTGTATTTTCGCTAAATATTTTAAGATTGCTCTACCTATGTGAACTATTTTCGATTTCGGTTTCGCGGCGCCGAGTTGGGCAGTGACGTCGATGCATAGGTGGCTTGGCCATGTGACCACACAAAGCTGTGACGCACATCGTGCTGAGTTTTCTCTACTCTCTCAGGCCCATGCCAAACAAGCGCCAGCAAAACAAACCCGCTGACAGTTGCCATTACCAGCTGCAGTAGCATACAGGCAGTGGCAAGGCAAAAGGCAGCCAGAAGGAAACAAAGCCTTTATCCTAACAACGTATGGGCAGAACATGCACGAGGAAGCTGCCTGACGCTAGATGGCAGGTAGGTAATAAACTTTATTAAGATCTAACTAGGAATTACTGGCCCGGGTTAGCCCTCCAGGAGCTGTCGTCCACTGAACATTGCGCAATGTCTTTGGCAATAGCCCTGGCTCGCTGTACGGCTCAGATTTGGTCCACTGAACGTGGGCTGAGAAGGGCAGCTCGCCACCGCTCAGCCAGTCGTCCTGGGGTGCACTTACGCTCGTCCAAGTAGTGGCGGCGAACACTGCACTCACACTCCTAAAGTATATGCGCCATGTCGGCTGCCTCGTGCCCGCAACAAAGACAGCAGGGTGACGGGTGCAGCGAGGGACAGAGTCTATGCAGGTGTCGGGGATTCTCAAATGTATCGGTTTGCAGACGCCTCAGATCAGACGCCTGAGACCTTTCTAGCTGCATGTGGGGTGGTGGGTAACGTCGTCACGTTTTTCTGTAATGGTTTAGGATCTCGTTAAAGCTAACCATGATGTCCTTGCAGTCCTGTAAGGCTTCGGGGTCTGTTATCGTCGTTGTAGAGGTATTATGTCATCCTACATCAGGTACCACGCAATCGTCAATGTGTCGCACATTGGCGGCCCTTTCGTCTGCGTCGCGACAGGTTAGCAGTCTCGCGACGAAGTGGGCGCGCTCGTTGTGGTTCGACGGGAGGTCAAATCTTTTGTCACTGCCAAGCTCTCCCACATGCGCGGGGAGCCACGTGAGAGACTTGGCAGCAATTGCACGAGACTTGAAATTGTCGGCTATGGCGTTTAGCATGGGCGCCACCTCGAATAATACCCATCCCTTCATAAATGTTCGGACCACCGTTTTGGCGTAACTCACAATAAGAGTGTCCTCGTTTCTACTATGAATTGTTGCGAGGGCTATGACCATTTTTTCTGCCGGCTCAGACAATGGGAGCCTCGTCTGGGATACCATCCCCAGAGTTCGTTCCCTCGTGTCCACCAACGCCGTGGAGAAGGCAGGTGTCGATTGGTGGTGTTGTGGCTCTCGTTCGTTCTTCTGTTGTCCTCGGTATGGCCGGTGGTATCCAGCAGCGTCGACAAGAAGGACACCCTCTTGGCTGCCGTGCTGTTTGAGGATCGCCTCCACCCTGCATCTGCGCCTTTCAGCATCGAGCATCGTGCACTGGGTGCATGTTTCTGGGCACATCCTCTGTGAGTATAGAATACTTGACCGCTGGCAATAGCGCGTCCTTCAGTCCCCGCATCCCGTGGTGACGCATCTCGAGGGAGTCGAGGATGGTTCTTCCGGCCTTGGTGCCCGACAGTCTTTCGAGCTGCGCAATCCTCTGAGCATCGATAATTTCGGCGAGTGCCTAGTGCACGCCCAGCTCAATGAGTCTGCAGTTGGCAGTGTTGTGAGGTACGCCTAATGCAGTTTTGTAAGCCCTGCGAATGATTGCGTCCAGCTTGTTGCTTTCGCTTGTACTCCAATTGACGTAAGCAGCAACGTACGTAATTTGGCTCTAAAGCATACGCCTGTATTAGTCTCACTACATTGAACTCTTTCATTTCTTTCCTATTATTCAGGATTCTTCGTATCAGGTTCATCGCGGCTGCCACTTTCTTCTGCAGCCAGCTGACGAGTTCGGAATCGGCATCGTTTTCTTCCAACCAGAGTCCGAGGACTCGTAATTGAACACCGTGGGTATGCGGACCCCTTCTTTTGTCATGACGCACACGCCCGTCTGAAGGACCTCAGCCCCGACCCTCAGAGGACGCCCCGGTTTCCGAGGTCTATGGAGAAGGATCCCCGACTTGTTTGAAAGGCAGACGAGCCCCGTGCCTTCGAGGTGCTTCTCAACTTCGCTTACCGCTCGCTTCAGCTTCTCTTGCATACTCCCAGAACTCATGCTCTCTGTGGTCCATATCGTAATGTCGTATACGTAGATTGTATGGTTGATGCCTTTTATCGCGTTGAGCTGCTCCGGAAGGCCAATCATAACGAGGTTGAACAGCATTGGGGAGAGAACGGAGTCTTGCGGCCTCCCGGCACTTTTAATCTCGACCATATTTGTTGGTAGCCCGTGTATCTTGATTCGCGCTTCTCGCCCGTCGAGGAAGCTGCCGAGATATCGGTGGAATCTCTTCCCTAGGTTTAACTGACTGATCTTCTCCAGTATGGCCGTGTGCCTCACAGTGTCAAAAGCACTTTTGAGATTGAGCTCGAGTATGGCGCAAAGGGGCGTGTTTGGTGCATCAACGACTTGATCTTTAATCTGCAGCATCGAGTCCTGTGTGGAGAGTCCTTTCACAGAACCCGATGATAAGGGTGCCAAACGCGTTTCGACTTTAGAGGAGCGTCACCACCCTATTCAGGCATGCGTGCTCCAACACCTTGCGGTCGCACAACGTGAGAGAAATCACCCTCATGTTCTTGACTACCAGTGGCTTACACGGTTTGGGTATAAGCACCACGTCCACGATTTTGCATTCACACGGAACCCAACCACTCCTACAGCACTCACTGACATACTCGCATATGTTCACAATGGCGTTGTCAAGGTTTCTGAGGGTCTTGTAGGTGAATTTGTCCGGGCCGCGCGCCGACATCGTCTTGAGTAGCTGAAAAACCACCCCGATCTCTTGTACAGACAAGTTCGCATCGAGCTCTTCGTTAGGTGCACCAGTATACTCGGGGTTACCTAGGCTTTCGGGGCGAGTGAGGTGCGTCCGCGTGATCTCGTCAGTGAGGGCCTCCGAGTCGTCCTTGGATTTGTGCCACAACTTGGCCATCTCTGTCCGAACTGCCGTCCTGAAGCTGGCGGGATCTGGCAGGTGCTTCAGAATCTTCCATGTGCGCCGCGCGCTCTTATTTCCATCCATGGTATTGCAAAGCTCTTCCCATTCTTGCTCGCATAAGCGGGAACAGTGTGTCTCGATTTTGTGGTTCACTTCGGAGATTTTTTTCCGTAGCTTTTTATTAAACCTCTGCTTACTTGCTCTGTGCTGCATCAATTTATGGCAAGGATGAGGTCGCCAGACGGCTGTCCACTGTAGTTGGGTCGGGGGCTTCAGTTCTCTCACTACCCGGGTCTTCCTTTTTCCGCCAGTCCATTCCTTCAATTTCTCTAGTGGCTTTTCTCCACGTATGCTAGGATTTTTTTGCACCATTACCTAATATCCTTCATGCGCTCTTCCTTCTCATTTTCCCTGTTTTCGCGAAATTCATCCCAATCGACGATCCTGACTTTGCGGTTCGCGCTTTGTTCTGCGTTCCTGCCTACGACCAGGTTGAGGATTCAATGATCCCTTCCTAGGTCTTAAAACGTATATTTCCTGCTCACCACGTCAGTGCTAACGGACATCGAGAGGACCGGGGTCGTGTCACGTCACACACCATGCCCGATTCTGGTCTGTGACGTTGGCTTGTTTAGCAAGGTGAAGCCGAGGTCGTCCACTAGTTCGGCCAGCCTCCCCCCCCCCCTTGGGCGAAGCATTGCCATATCCCCAGTGCGTGTGCGGGGCGTTAAAGTTTCCTACTATGAACAAGGGTTTGAAGGTGGCTTTCGCCATCGGTTCGCGGAAGAGGCAGTCAATGTTGTGAGACCTTTCTTCCAGGGGGTGGTGAAAACGTTGAGGACGAACAACTTAGCTGTTATGCCGATGCTTGGTATGATTTTTATTAGTACGTTATCGACGTCACTCACCACGTCCAGCTTGTGTTAAACAAACGCTATTCCCCTTCTTACAAGGATGTACATCGTGATGCTCAGCCCCGTGCTCTCGGAGAACGGACAGTGCGTGACATACCCCGAAAGCTTGGCAGGGTCATAAGGCTCTCGTAGGCACTCACATCTGGAAGTTTATTTTGAGAAACTGTTTTCATGCACTGCATCAACGTAGCTTTTTGTTTTTGAAACCTCTGCAGTTCCACTGCCAGATGATGGGTCTGCCGTTGTGCACGCGAAACTTAGTCATGTTGTAAGAGCTTGACTGACCGTGCATCCCTTCCGCTCCAGGGCGGGTGACATTGATTTTATTGCTTCTGTTGACGATTGTTGGAATGCTAATGGCGGGAGGCGGGGAAGAAACCTTTTCTGGAGGTAGCAGCTGCTACTTTCTTTGTTCTAAATCTTCTATTCGCTGGTTCATAGCCAGAAGTTGAGTGTTTACGGTTGCCTGTTGCGCATTTCGTTAGGCGTCGGAGTCGTTCAGCCTCGTGAGAAGCATTTGAAACATGCGTTCCGTCTTATCCAACAACTTGCCGATCATTTGCTTGAGCACGTCTACTTTCTTGGCATTTGACCAGGGTCCCTTTGATGCTTGCGTGTTCTCTGTGTCGTCCGCTTGCGCGCCATTCTGATTTTTGAGTTTCGACCCAACTGTCGGTCTCTATACGTCGGGCATGTCAATCTCCTCTTCCGCCGCCGCACTGGTGTGCTCCATGGGCGCATGCTGGGTGGAGGCTCCTCTGGCGTGTCCCGCTATGCGCTTGAGGACTTCGTTTAGCCTTTCGGGCAGCTTGTCGATCTTTGCTGATTTCTCAATTTGTTTACTTGCCCTGCTCAGTTCGTCCCTTAGTTCCCTGTTCTGTTTGTTAGCTTCTCTAATAGCAACCCGATTGGCGAGTTCAAGGTCTTCCCTAGGTCTTCGGGAAGTGAGCTGTCTTTCGGATTCCTGCTTTCTTGAGCTGCCAGGTGTGACCAAGTAATTTTACATGATCCCTTCGACTTCCCGCCAGGTGGAGGCTGCCAGTTTCCCGACGAGAAACTGGTCTCGCTACTTGAGTTTTGTTCAGTACGGCTACGGCTTCAGCTGCGGCTTTTGCTTCTACTGCGAGCCCCGCCGCGGTGATCTAGTGGCTAAGGTACTCGGCTGCTGACCCGCAGGTCGCGGGATTGAATCCCGGCTGCGGCGGCTGCATTTCCGATGCAGGCGAAAATGTTGTAGGCCTGTGTGCTCACATTTGGGTGCACGTTAAAGAACCCCAGGGGGTCGAAATTCCCGGAGCCCTCCACTACGGCGTCTCTCATATTCATATGGTGGTTTTGGGACGTTAAACCCCACATATCTATCAATCAATTTGCTTCTACTGTGGGGCCGCTTTTAGGGGTGAAGCTTCTTACAGCAGCACCCGTTCGTCCCCCGTAGTATGTAACAAGTATAACATTTTGACCTCCAAGGTGGTGCCGGTGAGAGACGACTTCTGTGCGTTGTTGAGCAATTAAAAATAGTGCTCAATGTACATGTCAATGGCTGCTAATGGGGAATGAGAGACAGGAGCATTTGGCTTTAGTAAACGCGCAGGCTGCGATCACCTTTAGCAGCCATTGGCATGTACATTGAGCACTATCTGACAAGAAAGGGTTGCTACGTTATACTCGCTGGGTGTAACCTCCTTAGCTTTAGAAAGGTTTAGCGAGCGTTGAGCCACAGTGCCATGAATACAATGAACTTGTATATACCATGAATTCGAGGTGGTTAAAGGTGGGAAGTGGACCCGAAGCGCAAGCCGTAAGAAAGTGTGCGTGTGCCACCTCTCGTTTAGTCCTTCGAATGTCCGCTGGATAGCGGTGCTTCTGTATGGGGAATATATGATGAAAAGATGCGAGATGGTGGTACTAGGAGTGTTGAATAGATAGACGAACGGACACATAGACAGATGCATGGATGGACGCATGAACGGACGCAGGGGCGGCTGCATGGACGAACGGAGGGACGGACGCAGGAACAGACGTACGCACGGACGGGCTGATGGACACATGGACGGTCACACTGATGGACGCATGGATGGACGGAAGCAAGAACGAATGGACAGACGAATTCTTCGCCCCACTCTCCATCATTCACTCCGTGGATATGCTGCTATTTTTTTTACCGCCGATGAGGAGGAGTGGGGGTCAATGGCTTTGTTGCGTTGTCGGGAGCCGGGCCTTGATCTCGAACGGCCTCTTCTTGGGTGACGTTCCGATGGGTAATGCTGCGAGAGAGCCGGGTACTGGTCCCTCGTGTCATCTTCGGGAGTGAGTGCGCCCTCTTTTCTATTATCCCGGTCATCCCTGCTTTTCGCGAGCCATCTCCTCGCCTTGACCACGTACGGAAGCTTGTCCTTAGCTTTACATGTCCGATCGGAAGTATAGTGGGCCTTCTCGCAGATTTCGCACCTTGGCGAGCACTTGTGCGCGGTAATTGGGTTTTTCGTGCCACAAATAAGACAGAGTTTGACTTCCGGTTTCGGGCACACATCGGCTCTGTGATTGAGTCTTCTGCAATCTCGACAGAATTCGAGTTGCTTCCGGTATTGTGCTACACTTATCATCATGCTGTTAATGTAAACCCACGTCAGGACTGTTTCCTTTGTAGAGGAGGATTACTGTAGTGGTGTTTCCGAGTCTTTTCGCGTATGCGAGATTGGGGTTCCTCGTAGTGACCAGTGCCTGGAAGAGTTGATCTTGCGTATAACTGACCATTTCTTCTGGTGCAGAGACATACGCACTGAACTCGTGTTTTTTGTCCCCCACTCTAATTGAGCAGATCCTTGCTAACTTCCCTGTTGTCTCCTCGTCGGGCGTGCTGGCAACCAAGATGTGTTGAGTGTAGTTGGGGCAAATCGTGATTGTTTCGTCCGCATTTATGCCGGCCGTTCTCCTGATCGTTTTGTCCAATGCCGCCCCGCCCGCCGTGCGGAGTCTCAGGCCATTTTGTGACCTCATGATCAACTTAATGTCTCCTTTCGGCAGCCTCGGCATTTTACTCGTACGTAGGATTTTCTTTACAATGACTCTTTTGCGGCCGCGCATTTCGGTCTCGCGCTGCAGGGATGGTGCGTCGTCGCAGCGAGCTTCACGATGTTTCTTCCGTCGCGTAACTTCAGTCCAGCCGTCGGCATCTGTCTCAACTTCAGATAGGTTTGTGACATCATCTCTATTGTCGTGCCCATCCGGAGCGTTGTCGGACGCTGTTTCGTCCATCTCCAGGATTGGATCTTTTTTGTGGGGCCCACCTTATAGCGTCCACGAGCAGCGGACGCGGCCTAGCTTGGTCGGAACGCCAGTAGGCCTAAAACGCTTCACACGCGTTGCCTATATAAATGTGGTTGTAAAAGTCCAAAAAAAAGGCACGCTGACCGTGAAACTCGGTGTCCCCAGGTCCACGTGGTAACTCGGGAGTCGATGGTGACCAAACATTCATAAAGACACTGAAAGTCCTGAGGATTCATGCAAAAACTACGGAGATGAAGTGAAGTGCGTCCGCTCTCAACGGCGGCCTCAGCGCCCTGACGATA